ACTAGTTTCGATTTTTGTTTGGGCAAGAGTTGGAAGGAGTCAAACTCCGTATGCATTAAATTCGAAATTGATCTGGAAGAGGAAAAAATTTTGAAATGGAAAAGAGAGATTCGTAGAGAGATTGAGCATTGTGCTCCAAGGATGCGAGAGGATTCTTTTTTTTAATCGGTTATAACGATCGAGTCGCACAACGTTCATCCCTCGAGAACATTATTATCGCGCAACGTCTACATCTCGACGAGTTTCACTCTCTCGACGAGCTTCAAACGCGTATATATAATTCATAACTGTGTGTTAAAGGAAATAAATGTACGCGTACCGACGCTGAATATTCCGGATTAATGCACGCGCCGTCCAGCAGCATGCAGCCTTGGTAGATGAACGAAGGATCTTGATCATCGTCGTCCCTGATATTCACCGTCAGTGTAGTGGTGGACGTGAACCTTTCAGACACATTCCTCGCACGATCCTACGAACAAACGGTTTATCATGTCTTTTCTTCCCCCTTCCCCTATTTTACTCGTTCCGCCATTAACGAAGCGAGCATCGCTGTTGCGGTTACGATTCATTAATACGATTAACATTACACATTTCGAGCGAAAATTTCACGCTCTTCTGTACGACGTGAATGACGTATGCGTCATTGGATTTTTAAACAGCATGAAAAACGGAGAGGAAATTTTCCACATTTGTTCAATACGAATTGAATTTTCATCGATATATCTGATGGAAAGAAATCTCGCGGAAAGAATCTGATTGGTCTCATTTGGAAGAAAACGCCTATTTTTGTTTCTACCATTTGGCATCTAAACCTACGCGTTAGAGCGTAGGCATAAAATCCAAAGAATTTTCTTTCTAACTTCTTATTTCTCGTCAATTTGCGTAGGCTAATTACGATTTGTAACGACAGTTTATTAGTTTAAATAGTTAAGATAATAATTGTAGAAATAAGCTGGATATATTATAGATAATTTCGAAAATATTTCGACTTCAAGTTTTATCTATGTGTACAGTGTCTCGATTGTCAACAAAGCGTATGAAGTGGGGATAGGCGGTCCTAGCGCAGGCATAAAATCTAAAGTATTCTAACGATATAATACAAAAATTTGTTCCTTATAATATACTTAAGGCCAATTACGATTTGTAACGATAATTTAATTTATAAATATAATTATAAAATGTATATAAATGAAAATAATTTTTATGAATTTGAACACTAAAATTGTAATTCTATTGCGTAGCGTATGGTCAGGATTGTAAACAAAACGTTTGAAGTGGGGATAGATGGTCCTAGCGAAGGACCCCTCTTGCCCCTCTGCCGTCCCGCGAGACATCTTTCCAACAGTGAACAGTAGATACGTACGTGTTGTGAAAGAAAGTTGTGTTCGTGAGTTTATTTAAGCCGAAAGGACGATAGAAATGATCAGAGAGGTTATGTTAGATTTCACATTGACGCTAATTCGAATGTTATATATTGTTCACTGATGGAAAGAAAGGAAAGGAATGCGAGTCTGATCGATCTAATTTGGAAAAGTCTATTTTATACACGTATTTCTTGTTTCTATCATAATATTTGTCACGTATATCGAAACGACTATCTGTATCCAAACTTCGATGCATTAAAACGTAGGCATAGAATCCAAAGAATTCAAATACTATTACTATATACATATATTATTATCGTATCAAAATAATTAATAGCTTATAACGATTATTATCCTAACGTTCATTATTTTTACATACTGATTTTTAAATATTTAAATTATAATAGCTCTTCTACTGTATTCTATGCCTTCTTTCCATCGATGAACAATAACACCAAATTAAGTTTAATTTTCGAATCGATCGAATTATTTCAGAAAAATTAAACGTTCCAAGTAGCTTAATCGAACGGCGTAATCTCCATCTCGGCAAGGAACGGACGACAGCAAAAGCTGTATATCACGTAACCGCGTGTCCATCAACCGGCGATGTAATGCCGTGTAATTTCATGCCGGCTCGACGATCTAAAATTATTAGGTAACTCGGTCAAGCTTGCACCACGCAACCGGTCAAACGCGTTCGTTTCCCTAGCCGAGATTATCCTCTCGAATCGACGCGAAATTATGCGGGGGATAATACGTAAAGGGGGGAGGAACAATTGTTGTAATGTCCCCTCGTAAATCGACGCGAAACGATTGTGTTGTATTCACCGATATCGAGCCTAGTTTCAGAAGAATTTCCAAAGGTGGAGGAGAAAGCCATCGCGAAACACCAGCACGAATAATTTTTCTCTTTCGCTTTGACCCCTGTTCTTTCTCCTCTCTTCCTTCCTTCGTGTCGTGAATATAGGGCGTGGCTCTGGATTGTCGTAACTGTAGCGCGATACTATCTCGCTCGTACTGCGATATTGCGTTTCGGAATCGGAGAAATATTATTACCTCTCGACCGTGCGAAATTCGGTGATGATGAAAACTGGATTGGTTTATTAAATTTTTATCTCGTGAAAAAAAAAAATTGCAATGTATAAAATGTGGAATGGGAATAAATTTTCAACGTGAAAGTCGTAAATACCAGATACTTATTTCCTTCCCCATTCGGATTTGAATAAACCTGAATAAGAGCGCACGGATTCCGATGGAACAAGCGTACACGAAACATAACATTTACATATTTGGAGCAGGTTTATTCCACCAAGCTGCTCGGTGGAACGAAGGACAATACGTTCGAGAAGATGTGGACCAGCTGTTCCACATAATATTCAAATGAGCCACACCTGTAGCAGCCAGCTGTTGCAACTAGCCCCTCGTGTAATCGGCGGAAATATCGATCAAATGTGGAATCAAATGTATAGATCTGAGACTTCGTGGTTGCCTCGTTGTCCGAATCGAAGGTCAACCAAAATTCGATCGAGGACCAGTGATTCTCTATCTCCCGTATAGGATCCTTTCGATCCAATCTTCCTCCACACGCGTTCGATCGCGGAGTCGTAAAGATAGATTTAACGCAGACACGTAGATGGCGCGCGGATTGACGGATGCATTTGATGGCCGCTATTTCGAATTTACGCGCAACATGCCATCTTTGCATGTATCATAAAATATGAAAACCGATTTTCCACCGATAATATGGATAAAAATGGGATTTATTCGACGCGTAATCGCACACAGCCCGACGATGCTCGACGAAATTAATCGAGCCATTCTCGCCTGTATATCCCACGTATACACGTGTCTCGTCCACCGAACTTTGACACTCCCCAAGTGTGATTCATCGCGATTCGATCCGATCTTAACGGAGTTTGATGAATATGTACGACAGCTCGATCTCATTATTTAGCATCGAAGAAGAAAATTTGAAAAGATTTCGTCGAATCTGGACTGGTGGTTCCACTCACCGTTGAAACAGTAGTCGAGTAGACTCGTTGCCCCACGAGCAACGTGAGAAGCAACACTTTCCAACCTTCCATCCTCCACGTTGTTTGCGATGCAACCCGTTAACTTTTATCACTCCATTCTTTCATACGCACGTTACATTTAATTTCTCTATAAAATTGGAATTTCGATTTCGATTTCGAGATCCAAGAAGTAAACAAACGATAATAAATCAGCTTGAATCTTGACGATGAAATGTTTCCAATCCACTCGAGTAATTATAAAAAGTTATAAAATTCCTCCACTGGTTGGTAACACGTTCCCGTTACGTACGCTACGTATAATAAATCATCATTTTTTTTTTTTCCTTCACGTATCTAGAAATACGGCCAGAGCTCGATGAGATCGAAATCTAATCTCTCCGTTGTATTTTCATCGTCGGAATGTTTAACGCAACGGAACGGAAATACTTGATATTACGGTAATATACCGTGAAATCGGAACACGGTGTTCAAAGATTGGCTCGATGATATATCATCGTTGCGATTCCCTTTCGAGAGAGAGAGAGAGAAAGTTACTTCTGAGAGAAATCGATCATCGCGTTTCCAAGTTGGGCATTAATCCAAGTTGAAAAAGTGACTGGTTAAAAATTTCCAGCAAAAAGTTTACTCTGAGCAAATTACTTGACTATTGAAATAACATTTGCTCGATTATTAGTCGATCCGATTCTTGGCCATTATTTCCTATTATTATTATTATTATTATTATTATTATTATTATTATTACAAATAATATTATAAATAATATTTCGAAGTAAATGAATTGTCGAAGTAACTTGTCATTCGTAACTTCGATCAATTAAATTTTCCCCATCGTTGGCACGGATCGCCATGTTTTTCAGCAAGATAATTGCCTCGAAATCGAGATCGTACCGTAATTTTATGCGATCCACGTCGCTTTCAGACTCGCGAGTTCGAGTCTTTATTGTTTTATTGGGAAGAAGGGAGGGGAGGGGGGTCCAATCACCACGCTATTCGTGTATCTAATATCGTTCGTCCCTGCATCGTGGCGTACGAATTTTTTTTTTCTATTGAATTAATTAAACGAATTTATCTGGAACAAAGGAAAGTCTCGAAAGGAGGAAAATTCTTTTTTTTCTTCAGATATGAGTTGAATATTTTTGTAAGTCGATTCGATGAACGGGTATAGAGAAAGGAGATGCTTCGAAAACTTTTTAGAGAGAAATAAATTTAATCGTTCTACTTCTTTCGAATTTTATGATGGTCACGTGACGTGCAAGTACGCACGCCTCTCCTGCACTTTTGTATATCTTCCTGTGTCCCACAAGTTTAACGCGAGTGAAATATGCAAGAGTTGTGTCCGAGTTGTGTTTAGAAATCCTTGACGAAAGTTTAAGAACGTCCTCTCCATTGCGGCCTCGCAGAAGAGGAAAGAAAGTGGTATTATATTTCCAGAGAGGAAGTTTGAGAGAAGCGCGAGCGAATGTTAAATAAGTTTCGTCTATTTAATCTACTGTGTAGAAAAAAGAGAGAAAGAAAGAAAAAAAACTTGAAATTCAGAGACCGTATAATTCCATGAAATATAATCGGAATAATTTATCTTTCTTAACGCGAATAAATAGATTTACACGCTTCGGTGAGTTTTCAGCGATGATGATTTCGATTTTAAAAAAAAAAGGAGGGAAGAAGAGAGAAAAATTGAAAATTAATCGAATACAACTTTTCCACTTGAATTTCCAAATGAATATTCTCGAATTAAACAATCGTTTGATTCGAAACGATAGACGTTGATCAATCGATAACGGAGGGATAATTGAGCGTGGCTCCTCGATTAGCATAAAGTTTTAATCGTGAATGAAATGGGAAACGCGCTTTGACGGCCGTCAAGCGTGAAACGAGCACCTACGCCAATGCCCTGGCACTTGTTACGTGCGCGGTGGAAGCGGCTTCCACCGTCGCAGAAACCGTTCGTTTTGACGAACGCCCACGTACACCCTTCTAATGTCCACCATTAATCTCCATACTCGAAGAATGGTCGGCGAGTGGACTCGATCCCGACGGAACTTGGCTACTACGTTGTTCCGCCCGTTTCCCAA